CGGGCAGGTTTGAGGGGGGACTGAGTTGAGTCGTGGGGTTAGTTGGGGGTTCGAAATTAGGATGGTGCGGGAGTTGAGTTGGTCTACGAACAAGATTTGAGAGGTACAGAACTGGGGCTATAATAGGGGAGAAATCCTGTCGGTATCGTGAAAAGGAAATTAGTGGAATTTGGACGAGGTTAGATACCTGAACCTGGTTGCACCTCCTGACAGTTTCGGAGCGTATGTCGCTGCAGTACCGTGGTTGTATTGTCTTCGTTCCACTCGTTGGGAATGTGGTGAGATCTGACCTCCTCCTTTTCTCTCATCTCTGCTCCTCTCTTTGTCATCTTCTTTGTCTGGATGCTCTTGGGGACTTAATGATTGCTGGGATCTTCTGTCTCTTCCGATACAGAAGCTGAAACAAACTGTCCGCGGTGGTTGCCCTCTTCTCTTTCCTGTAATAGCCACCTTGTTATTTTTGGGTTGTCTTCCCTCCTCCCTTTTTCTGGCTCTTTATTCTCTCTTGTCTCTTCCTCCCTCTCTTCTCCTTTTTCACCTTCGTCTCTTTTGACCTCCCTCGCGCAATTGTGTGTCCCTTCGCGTGTTTCCTCTTGCGTTACTTCGTTGGTCGCTGAGTCTTGTCCGGGGTGGAAGCTTGAGGTGGAGGCAATGATGGCAGCTATGATGGTGGAAGGAAGTTGACTCTACCGGATATGGCTGCTTTCTGCCACGCCCGAGGGCGTGGCTGACCTTCCCTTGATTCACGACCAGGAGCGTGCGAAAATACTGTGAGTTGTTTGGATTTCCGCGTGGGTTTCCTGCCCGGCGCGACGCGCCGCGGTAGGACCGCTGTGAGTTTCCGAGCGCTGGTCGGCGTTAGCGCTAACCTTCGGCGCTTGGCGAGCCCCTAGTCTACTTTCCACTCAGTGCCAGCAATCAAGAAATATTAAGTACGTGAAGCATATTGAACCACCGGTACGGATGAGGTGGTTTCTTGGTTGTTGATTCTTGGTGTGACGGAGAGCTATGCACATTTTCAAACAATGATAACAATTTGTAGGTGGCCTTAGGAGGTTAGAAGGTGGAGCACCAACCAGCCTAGCCTAGTTGGTACACCCATGAACTGTTGAAATACAGACCCAAGTTCAAATCCAGATGCAATCAAATGAACAGAATAACATGAGTCTGAATTACCTGGGGCGGTGAGTTCAATGATGATATCACAAGGCCGTCGCCCTTAAAAAAAAGAAAGAAGTGGACCCGGTGTGGCGACGCTGTGCCCCAAGTCCAATCCTGGCTATGCACGACAGGACTGGATCAGGCGGTCCCGTGTGGGACAGACATATTGTGTGGACTGGATGGTGGCAATGCCCCTTCTCGCAGGCCACTTTGTTCTCCATTCGGCCCCTGCCCCTCCTCCCCTGCCGCCCTACGACGTGGGGTGGGTTGTACAAATGCTCCCCGCCGCCGATAAAAAGGCACAAAAGAAAAAGCCCCAGCCCATTCTACACACCTGTACCATCGATATAGGGCCTCGCTCCACTATTCAGCATTCCAGGCTGCTACGTACTTGTCTTCGAACATGCTGCAAAAACAACAATTGGGCTGCAATGCCGCTGCATGCTGCAAAAACGACAATGGGGCTGCCATGCACTCAAACCAGAAACGAAACGGCACAGTGTACCTCATTTCGAACTTGGATACTTCAAATGAAGTGACCGCCGCGAAAAACAAATGGGAACCAAAAAAAGCTGTCACACTGCATAATCGTCGTGATTCGAACTTGGAGACTTTAAGAGAAACGCCACCTGCGAAAACCAAGCAGAAAATGGCCAAGAACAGCTGCCCTGCCTGGATTCAAACTTGGGAACTCCAAATGAAACACAACGAAAACCAAACAGAAAGCGATCGAAAAAGCTGCCAGGCTGCGTCGTGTTTCGGGATCTGAACTTGGAGACTTCAAGCGAAACGTAGCCTACGAAAACCAAGCAAAAAACAACAAAGAAAAAACTACAAGGCCACGTCGTGTATGTGGATTCATACTTCGAATGAAACGACACCCACAAAAAACAAGCAGAAAAGGACAAAAAAGGCTGCCATGCTGCGTGGTGGATCTGGATTCGAACTTGGGGAGCTCAAACGGAACGATGTCCACAATATCCAAGCAGAAAACGACCCAAAAAAAAGGCTGCCAAACCTGGCGAGAGGTGGTTAACGGAGGCCTCAATTTTCAGACTTCTCATGTCATTTATAGCAAAACCAAAGGTCCCAAGGGTCATTTTAACCAAACTTGCCACCAATTCATAGAGTGGAGATCATACTAACTACTTACAAAAAAAACAATTGCGAAAAAAACTAAAAAAACCTATTAAACAGCAAGGCAAAAGTGCACTTCCGTGAAATTTTGCCAACATTCCAATTTCAGAAATCTTGAGAAATTTCAGAAATCTCATCAGAAAAAATTCCAATGGCCCAAATGATACCAAATTTGGCAAACAGCAACCTTAAACCAAAACAAAAACAGACAAAAAAAACAAAAAACAAAAAAACATAGAATTTGACCCCCAAGGGCCCAAACCCTAATTTCAGTTTTCGACCCGTTAGTCAGGAGCTGAGAGTGGGGGTCCCCATTAACCACTTCTGAACCCGGCAGTACATCTGGATTCGAGCTTTGGCAACAAAAAAGCAAAATGCAGACTCCCCCCATGACTGCCACGCACCTCGAACGGCATGCTGTCCCACGCGGTTCCAGGTCTCGTGTGAACCCGTTACACAAGACCTAGCTTAACTTTTATAAAGACTATAGGAAAAAAAAAGGTTGGGTCCTAGGAAGATTCTCACGCCCGGCCGGTCCTGCCCGGCCGGGCACCCGGGGGGGTCTGACGCCCGGGGTACCCGGGCGTGCAAAAAAAAAAAAAAAAAGATTTTATTTATTTATTTATTTATTTATTTATTTTTTGTTTTGTTTTCTGCGCTCTACCAGAGGACTCCAAATCCGGGCTCATT